CACATCCCATGCATCACAACATGCATGACTCATGTGTGATCGTTAATGGGATAAGATTGACTATTGCTCTATAACGTCCTGTTGGCATTTTTAATTTTATGTGTTTTGGAGAGCACATCTTGCCTGGCGAGGCAATCAAATCTGAAATCTTAGCGCAAAATCTACGCTCCAACTTTTTGAAAACCAAACTGGCCGGGTTAATAGTTAGAAAGTTATCATTGTGAAGTTTGGAATCAGAACTTTATACCAAAATCTGTAAAAGGTCTTATGCCTGTCGCTTATTCGTGAACTTACTCTTCGCAAATTCTTTTTAAATAATCTTCAAATGATCCCAATGTTTAAAGGATAAAATTCATTAATGCGAGTATATTAGAAATAAATTTTCCTTTCGAAAACCTGTGCTAAGAGACTAGTATCTGCTATTCATAAGATTTTTCGTTATTTGGCAGCGACAAATCATAATATCTTAAAGAAAAGAATTTTCAGCTGATTAGCAGTTCGTTGTAACCACTTCTGCTTAAATGACATTCTAAATGAAATTCTTTTTCAGAATGTCTCACGTACAAAACAGAAAAATGAAAAATGGATCATTACCAACCAGCAGTCATAAAAATCTGAGTCAAAATAATGAAGAATACCGGCCATCCGCCTTGCAGTTGAAATGGAAACGAGAGGTACACGAGTGAGGGTTCGAAAAGCTACGAATTTATCAAACTTTAGTACTACGAGCACCAAAATCGACTTCTTCAATTCTACGAGCAAGACGAGAAGCTGAATGAGCCTATTGTGCAAGAGGAAGCTGATCAGGAGGACCAACGATTGTTGAATTATTGCCTTGCTCTCACAATATTTTCCTTATTTGGTAATCTGCTAGCATCTATTTTATCCGGATCACTTTCAATTCTAAGGTGATTTCAAAGTTTTACTGCAATTTCTGGAATAATAACGGTTTGCTTTACAGTACATTTGTGGACTCATTAATGGATCTTATGTGTAGTGC